GGTTTTTTCCCCGCCGCGTGCCTAACCCTACTACATATGTTTGAAAAAGACATTTTGAACACGACTGCCCTCAGCATTGACTTAAATCTCGAGGAGGCTGCCCACTTCAAGGTTTGCGCTGGGTCCCCGAAGACAAGACACAGGCGCAAGGATGAGTGTGTGAAGATGAGATCACTTGTAGCACTGCCCATTTTCAAAGCTTTCCCTGAACTCGACATTGGAAAAACGCAGGCCCTGTCCCAACAGGCCTCGTGCACACGGCAATCCTGGTGCAAGGGCAAAACTGCTTGCCAAAGCGAAGCGGCATCATCATCACCACCATCAAAGCAACAGCACCAGCAGCACCGCAAACGCGGCTGGCGAGTAGTCATAACTCACACTCTTCCTCTGAGTTGTCTTCACGCTTGCTCAGGAAAGTGCGCCGCTGACGACGGACATGCGGGTCGTGCAGCTGCTCCGTTTTCTGACGTTACAGCATACACAGCATAGAGATGCATAGAGAAATAGCTTCAGCCTACCCAGTCTTCCTCCAAACTGTGCCCCCTCGCCCCTAGCTGGCCCTAGCTGGCCCTAGCTATGCCAGCTACGCATGGCTCAGCGGCTCAGCTCCTGAGAAGAGCCACGGAGCCATCCGACACGCACTTCCCGCTCGCTTCGATGCGCGGTACCTTGGCAAACTCAATGAGCACGGCGGACGGCTAATTGAAAGCAGCTGATGCGAATCATGACTTTGATGACTGCAGAGAGCCGTTCATGAGAGGAGCATGCCTCCGGCGAAATGTCAGTGTTTGCCGCTTGCTTGTGCTGAAGACTGCCAACCATGCCCCCCGTTTCCCATGTGTTCGTCGGACTTCGTGCCCGGTCTTACCCACTGTGCCACACAGACAGGGACTTTGCGAGAAGCATGCACAATCTGGATCCAGCAGGAACACAGTTGTTGTCCACTGGCTGAACAAGTGGAAGCTGGGCGTCGCGCAGTACGAGGATATCAGCAGGAACAGCAGCAAAGCAGCATTGAGAAGTTGTGCACCTGGAAAAAAAGGATTACTGTGTGGAAGCATTTGAGTTCGGCGAGGCCTGCCTTTCAAAGGTGGCAAGCATTCCGGAAACGTGACACGCGTGAAATTTCTGCAGGGCTGGATGGGTACATGGTGCAGTTGCCGCTTGTGGAGATGGTCGCCCGCTTGTGGAGATGGTTGCTGCATGCAAGCAAGCCAGGCCTAACATCTGGCCGCCACTCATCGTGGCCTGACAAGCCATGATTTGCCATGACGTCCGGACCCCTCACTGCCAAGCATTGCCTGCAGGCTGCTGGCCACTGCAGCCAGCACTACCAGGGGACCCAGAAAGCAACACCGCAACGGAAGACAGTGGCACGCAACTGCGACAAAGACCTCGGTGCTGAGTCAGTCTCTTCCAGCTGGCAAAATGCGAGGAAAGCAGCTTGAGTCTGGGACAACACTGAGAAGGATGGCAGAGATTTCCGATGTCGTCTCTGTCAAATCAAGATCCCTGGCAAGACAGGGGGACTTCTTCGGTGGTGTCAACGGCACGATTTCTGAAAGGCTCTCAATACAGCCTCTCCGCCAACCATGATCGCCACCATCGACTGTGGAGAACGCCGGCCTCAGCAAGCTGTGCGTAAGTCGCTACATGAATGATTGTGGGAAATCAAGTGGACTCCAGCTCGCCCGTATTGCCTCAGCCTTTGGACGGCCCCATAATTTGCCCACACTAACTAAAATTCCAAGACGAGCCAGAAACCGATTACAAAAATTTGCAACCAAATCGTCTGCACTGAAAGGCTGCGGCGATGATGTTGGCACCGATGGCGCAGGCCCACAGTGCTTCTGAAAAGCTGCGGCACCTGAGCGTAATACCCTGAGGATCCTTCAGTCGGTCAGTTGTTAGCATCGCTGGGCTGTCCGCAATTCACAATTCAGACAGCTGCCCAAGCAGACAGTGACCATCAGCACGGCAGCGCTTGTCTGATGGCAAGTGGTCCCAGTATGACGAGCAAGCTGAAATCCCATGCTGCCAGCCTGGAACAGAACGATAACCAGATCTGGAGTTGAGAGCCCCGAACTCCAAGCATTCTCCTGAATCAGGACTTCCGTTTAGTCACCGGCCAACAGCAATGCGAGGTCCTTGGACAGGTGCTCCAGTGTCATGATGAGCTGCAAAGCCATCTGTGTCAGACCTGGCTGCGCAAGGAGCTGGCTACCGCAACTGTTTTATTGCTCATGAGAACTTACCTTCAAAGCTGATGTGCCTGCTGCCGCGGCCATCCAAGAAGATCGCTTCCGCACTTCATGCCTAAAACGGATCTCATTCTCAGAGCTGGCAAACCGTAGATCCGCTGAGCGAAGTGTCTGCCTGCAACCGGCGAATATACAAACTGCACAAGCTGTTGGTGTACGAGCTGATGAACTCGATAAATCTGTTCACAGGCCTGGCCTCAAGCCAGAAAGCAGACCGAGCCATGCCACACCCATTCCAGCAAGCCATGAAGATTGGCGCGAGCGACGCGCTCCGTCGGGCGAATGCTTCGAACTGCGCTCTTGCGAGCCGTGGATAGCTTATGCTGACGCTGCAACCATGTTTCTACACCACCAGCTCTAGTGTCAGATCGACTGCTGAGAGGATAATTAAGGACAGTCCATTGTGAGAATACATATGTCCTGCTGAGGCATGCCATATGCATAGGTTTGAACGCTGGTATGCTGAGGTCTCTTGCCGAATGTCTCCTTGTCAGTTGTGCGAAGTCAATGCAGTGATTACAACATCTTCCATCTGCGAATAGCTCTTAGTAGCGGCGCGGCGGAACATCCGTCTATCCTTGTGAGAGTATGCTGCCTCCAGCTGCTTCAGACAGAATATGCTCTCCATCTGGGATACTAATTACAAAGAGCTCCTCCGATTCCAACATCTGCCCAGCAGAATCCGAAGCACCCCATCCGTGTTGGATCATCACGGATGTAAGCACCGGATAGATATTCAAAAGAACTATGAAGACCTGGACTTCGTTGAACTTTGCTGTGCCAGGCTCAAGTCTGCCTGCTTGCCTGCACTCAACCCTGCCTCAAGCGATACTAGTAGCATCCGCAAGATGCATGCTTCAAAAGCTCGACATCGTGGGAGATCCTAAGTCTTTGAATCCCACCATGATGCATTGTAAGCTTAGGCGCCGACAGCTAAGGCCGCGCTTGCAGCAGCGGCTTCATGATCGGCCTGAGCTGGCACTGGATCTATTCAAATCTCTCCAATCCAAGACTGAAAAAGAGAGACACTGAACCAGCAATGCGACTTCAGTCCGCTCGGTGGTGCACCGCTCTTCGAAGTTTGAGTTTGGAGGCAGCCGCGCCTCTCAATGCCTGGCAGGGCAGGCACAAGGCAAACGTGGCGTTGCCATTGCTGTCGATCTGCAAAAGAAGAGACTTCTGAACAAGCAGCAGAGTCACAGACCATGAAGACTTCCACTTACGTACACCAATGGCTCTGGATTTGGATCTTCGCAAAATGGACCATCTTTGCATCTTCATCCAAAATTTGCCTTTTCTTCAACGGCATGCGAGACTGCAGTTCTCTTCTCCACTCTCCGGCCCTGTTTGCTCCATCGGTGCTTAGCGTTAGACTGCCAACCACGTTCAAGCGGCAAACACAAAGCGGCCATCTTCAGCTAGGCCTGAATCTGCACTTTTGTGTCTAGCTCTCTCTGCTGCAATTTCGCCCCTAGAGTCTTCTGTGCCGGTCACGCTGCTTTACTGCGTATCCAGCCACCCGCCTTCATAGACACCCCCTGCAGATGGCGGTTGTTCAAAATTCCTTTTCTTGGATTTTGCCAACTTTCGCGAAGTGCGTTCCTTTCTCGTTTTCTTTTCGCGAAACCTTCACGGAGCCTGTTTTCACACGTGGGTCAACTTGAGATATCAACTTGGATACCAACACTTGAAGCAAAAAAACAGGCCTTTGTATGGCAGCTTCCAGAAATGAGGGGCCCTTTCTGGGGTGATTAGTTCTTTTATTTCATGGCGAATAGTACGTTTAGGAGTATATGAGGGGACACTGATTTTCGGAAACTCCCATTCAGAAAGACACTGCTTTCGTTCATCTTAATTTGCTGAAAGACACTGCTGTCGCAATACTGTTTGCGTATGCTTGCATGCTTCGGTCATGTCCGAAACACGATTAACTACTTTGTTTGACTCGTTCTCCAAATGCACTGCCTGCGCTGCGAGAAGTTCCGTTCGCGCAGCCACGATTGCCAGCCGCCCCAGGCGGAAGCAGTGGTGGGCTTTCAGGAAATCACAGTCCAAGGCATCTTCCCAAGCAATAAGAAGAAGCGGGCGCAGTGGATCAGCAGACTCTGGCTCTGCAGACTTAGAGATGGCCAGGGCAGCCGAAGCACCATGCAGATCACCCATTGCCAGGCGAACATCCGATAGAAGTTGTCGCATGAACACTGGAACTGGAAGGGCTCGTGAACTTTCTTCGTCACACACTGGGCCATCGAGATGAGGCAGAAGTTGTGCTAGGGCCACATCCAGTTGGACTACGGCCTCAGGTCTTAAACAACTGAGGCAGGCAGGTGACCAATATGCATCTGGCCAACCGTTTGATGAACCTCGCTTCAGGTGCCTCCGCTCGAAAGATAGTGCTTCCACGCCAAGGCTCCAAGCCGAAGCATCCTCCAGTCCAGGCATCGTCTCTGCGTGAGCACCGGGCACCTCGCCCTGCCAATCACCATCACCCATGGCCGTTTGCTGCCTTTGCTGGCGAGACGTCTCGGCCAGAGCGGCCAAGGACGCATTCTTGCGGGCAATATATCTTGACAGTTCCACTCTACAGAGAACCCCCTGGTAGTCACCATCCTCGTCATCCCCACTGAAAGTATCAACGGGAGGTGGTTCTGGGGCAAGCGACATGTCATACACTATTTCAGGTGGCGAAATTGGTGAATACTCGACCCTCTGCGGCTTCGGGGGTCGCTGGCCTTGAAGGATTGGACAAAGCTCCCTGTGCTTCGCTGCCCTTTCCGACCACGAACTGGGAGGCAAGGGAATTTTGACCTTTCGAGGAGCATACCTTGACTGCCACGTTAAAGGTGAGGAATGCTGCAGCTCCAGGCGAGCTGTCATTGAGAATTGGGCTGCACGGACGATAGCTGCTCCCTCCCCTGTTTCGTGGAAGCTTGCTCATGCCTTGTTGGGCTATGCACAGCATACATGTTCTTTCGCAGTGCTACGTTCGTAAGAGTTGCTATTCATGTCTGCAATCTAAGGCAGATACGCTTGTGAAAGACTGGACAATTCTTGCTCTGAATGTGCCTACGAGCCAATGCAAAAGGCAAAGTCGGCTGGAGCATCCCCAATACAGTGTGCGCACCTACCATGCCTAGGGACTTCTTCCAAGGTTTATATATCAGTGACTCCCCGTCGTGAGCCCCTGTTTAAGACAAGACCTGGGTCAAGGCGCTTCCACGTGCGATCCAGGCTTTCAGGCTAGGCATCCATCTAAGATCACATGCATGCATCCGTCGACTTGCAACGTTCATGACATCATGTGCAGGCAGTCAGGCGGGCCAGACTTTAGCCAATGGCATGCTTTGATAAGGAGAGCTGTGCTGCAGCACATTCCGGTTCAAGTCTGCAGGCACTTGTGTCCCTGCAGTGCTTCACCTGAACACGTTGGGAGATTGTCTGCCAAGATCCGTCGACTATATTGATAGTTGGCCTCAATTTTGCAGCTTCTCCCCAAATTCTCATGCAAATTGCGGGTGAGACACCTTTTGCAACGCAACCCCGGATTCTGGGTTGCTGGGTGAGAGCAGGATTGTTGAGCAGAACCGGGGCGTTGTACTGTGCACGTACAACTCGGTGACTCCATATGAAGGACAGGAGTGGTAGGCCGTTTTGCCTAGATTGTGCACAGTGCGACTCTAAACAACCTTGCATTGTCTCATGCAGCTCGCCTACAATCCTAACTACTTCCAGAGCAATCCATCTTGACAGTAAGCAATAATATTGGCTCGGATGACATCTCAGCTTCTGCCCTCTGGCCGTTGTGAGTTTCGCTCCTCGAACCTGCATACTCAAACGTCACTGTCAGCGCCCAGGGAACAACGAACATCTATCCGCCGACCCCGAAGCGGGGNNAGTGAAGACCCATTGCCCCTCCTTCACTTGACCTGTATCCTCGCTCCGGCTATGAAAACCAATCCCCCCCCGTCCAGCGCCCCTGCCATGAAAAGCAATAACCCCCGCCGCCCTCACCGCCCCCACCGCCCCGACCGCCCCCACCGCCTCAACTGCCTGCACCGCCCCCACCGCCCTCGCCACCCTCACCGCCCACCGCCCAGACCGCCCTCTCTCCCCTCCCGTCCAGCGCCCCTGCCATGAAAAGCAATGTTTTACAGGCTCCAGTGCATGCCCAACCCCCACCGCCCTCGCCCCCACCGCCCCCACCGCCC